AGTCATTCCCATGTGTGGAGAGCTTGGGGCTAAGTTATTACATAGGAAGAATTTTATTTTATAGCCACATTTTCCATTACCAGCTCTTAAATTTCCTTTTTATTATAAATTCTACTACCTTAATTTTCTTCCAGCTTTTCTCCACTGCTGATATAAAATTTATTCTTATCTGAATATATTACATCACTCAAGTAACCTTTAATTTTTTTCATCAACTATTTGGTAAAAGCCAATTTTTCTAATTCATTAAACTTATGGAGGTATTTTTCTACTCTCACTGATTTTAAATCTATAATGTTTTAATATTAGCCAAATCCTTTGTGGTCCAGATTCCTTTCTTGATTGTTCTCATTTATTCTTTCTGTTATTTTCATAGACTGTTAAAACTAGTGTGACAAAAATGGGGATGGGAAGAGCATACAAACTTTACCAGGATAATAATAGCTTAGTTCAGAACTTAACACAAATGGGAATGGATATTATATAATTATCCAAATGAACATAAAACTCTAATTTAAATTCTATCAAATTTGTATTGGTTCATAAATGAAAATATAAATCGATAAAGTATATTAAACACAAATTATTGGAAGAATGGGAGGAAATTCTCTCCCAGTTCCTCTCCATGAATGCCCAAATGACAAAATGTTACCTACTAAAATAAAAACAACTTCATTCAAGATATTAATTTAAAACTGTTGACTAAAATATATACATAAATTAATACATATAAGTTACATATGAATGAAAAATTTTGCTACACTAAAATTATTACTTTATATTTCAACATTTCAATAAAAAATCTGGAGCACTGCGCGAATCACACAACTTTCACTTACCACTTCTTTTTTTTTAGCTGCAATAGGTATTTCCAGACAAAGGGAAGTGAAAGTAAAAATTACAGAGTGTACAAAATATGATTTAAAACAATTAACTATCATATGTTTGTCACAGCCATCCAATACATTATATTTATACTTTTTTTGTTGCAAAAAATTTCTTCTTGTGACTGTATATTTTAACTATTAGATTATAATAAATAATCAAGTACCAAAATAAGTCTCACAAGATTGGCACTACTAAAGAAGGCCATAATATTTATCTACATTTCATTGTAGTAATCCTATTTGTTTAAGCACTTGTATAAATAGAAATTTTAATTTTTTTATAACTGTAATCTATACAATTGAATATTAAATAAATCCCTTTTAACATTTCGTCCAAGCTAGGGTTTCTTCGAGTCTCTATTTTGTTTAACTATATCCTTTATTTCTCATGTAGTTAATTATCAAATTCGGCCATACTTTATATTTATCCATTTTTTAGTTCAAGTAGAAAAAATTAAAGAAGGTTCTGTAGAGAAAGAAATTTTGAAAATTAAGCATTTAAGCATTCTTTTTTTTTTTTTTAACTGTGGAGTCAATGTATTTCATTTTCCAATGCAAAAATTTTTAACTAATTTTGATGATTTTTATATCAATAAGATTATTTGCTCTATTTTTACTTTCATTCATCTATATATAAAATATAAAGTAAGGATAAGTAATTCGATCATGAAAAATTTTGAATCTGAGTTTTTAACAGAAATACACCTTTCAAAGCTCTTTGATTACAAATAACTAAGTTGTAAAAATGGTATGTCTGTGTAAATGAACAGCAAGACACTGAAGAATGAATAAAACTAAAGATTTTTGAAAAAATAATATATATTTTTTTTTATTTATAATTTTATTGAAATTTACAACTGTATTACATTAAAAATACAACAGGTAAATGTGACATTGGTAACATGACATGTAAAATATGAAGAGAAACTACCCATTGGTAGAACTCAAATTAAAGTTCTATATTAGAAGATCCCGAGGCCATCTTCTTTTCAGACGCCTCGGAGGGTTATCAGGGATAGAAGAGGAAGCAATGTTTGAAACAAGAGGGTTCGGATGGTTCTGCAGTTTGTTATGGAAGGATAGGTATCTGGATTGGGCCAAATCGGAAACATATGGAACATTAAGGTCTTTATGGATGATTTTGTTTGTGACAAAGTAAGGAGCATTGAGGATTTTACGAAGGATTTTGGATTGTAAGGATTGGATACGAGAGGAATTCGATGGCTTAGTGGAGCCCCAGAGCTCAATTCCGTAGGTCCAAATAGGTCTTATTATTGTCATATATATGAGTCGTTTGTAATTGAGTGAAAGCTTAGAGCGTTTGTCTAGTGAGTGTTGGAGTAGTCGGAAACGTCGAGCGGTTCCTTGTCGTTTCAGTCTTGTATGAGGATTCCATGTGAGTCGTTTGTCGAGGTGGAGTCCTAGGTAACGAATTTGTTCAACTAGGATAAGTGGGGAATTGTTAAAGAATACTGTAGGACAGGAGGTCATAGGTTTGCGACGCAGGGTAAAGGTAATTTGATGGGATTTATTGGAGTTTATTTTAATCCTCCACTTTTGACACCATTCTTCAAGATTTGTGATGTGTGATTGGAGAGTTTGGGATGCAATTGATGGATCGTTGTTAACTGATAGGATACACGTGTCATCGGCATAGGTGGTGATGACAGTGGCGATGACAGTTGGGATGGGTTGGAATGTCAGCTGCATAAACTGTGTAAAGGATAGGACCTAGGATACTACCTTGAGGAACACCAGCAAATTGAGATAAAAGAGATGAACAGGCATTTTTGTGATTTACTTTGAAGTATCTATCACTAAGGTAGGAACGGATAATGAGGAAGTATGTAGGTGGTAGGAATTTACGGAGTTTGTACATCAGTCCCGGATGCCAGACTCGATCAAACGCCTGTTCAACGTCGAGAAAGACTCCCGTGCAGTACATTCCGCGCTCCAATGCAGAGGAAACCACGTCTACCACACGATGACATTGCTGAATAGTGGAGTGAGATGTTCGGAATCCAAATTGGTGATCTGGGATTATGTTATTAGAATCTAGGATGGGATAGAGGCGTTTAAAGATGAGTTGTTCTAGGATTTTGCCCATAATGGGTAAAAGAGAGATAGGACGGTAAGAGGATGGGTATTCTGGCGGCTTTGAGGGTTTCGGTATCATTTTGACTATGGATAGTTTCCAAGAGTCAGGAAAATATGTAGTTCGGAGTACCGCATTATATATATAGGTGAGGAATAATACGGCTTTCTGAGGAAGCAGTTTTAGGATCTGGGATGTGATTAGGTCATGGCCAGGAGCTTTGCGGGAAGGTAATCTATGAATGATATTGGATATTTCTGAAGAATGAAATGCTTTAGGTGGAAGGGTCAATTGGAGTGGAATATCGAGTTCTGCTTCAATACACTCAAGGTGGATTGGATTTAGGATATCTGGGTGTGGATTAAATGTTTTGAAGAGGTGTTGAGTAAATATTTCAGATTTTTCTTCATCAGATCTAGACCAGGTTTGGGTTTCGGTAAGAAGTGGGTGGTTAAAATCTTTGAATTTTAAGAGCTTTTTAGTGGTCAACCATAGTGATTTGTCAGTAGTTGTTAGATTTTCTGTTAAGTTAAGTAAACTTTGGATTTTGTATTTCCTAATTTCAGCTTTTAGTTGGTTAGTTAACTTATTGTAATATGACTTGTCTGATGGGTATCTAGACCTATGCCACTTCGATCTTGCTGTGCGTTTTTCCTTTAATAAGATACGAATGTGCTGTGGCAAGTTAGTCTGTTGGGAGTTGTTATTTTTATTGGTTGATGTGTTATCGTTAATTTTGTCACTTATAGATGAAGTAAGTACCTCTATGGCTGAGTCAATGTCATTTTTCGTCTTAAGTGGAATATTTAGGTCCAATTTATCTTCCAAGTCTTAACGAAATTTGTCCCAGTTTACTCGTCCTGTGATAAGTGAAGGAGAAAAGGAGGGCTTAGGAACAAAAGTTGAGTGCAATGAAAGCAGAACTGGACTATGATCTGAAGAGAGGTCATCCAGGGATTTGATAGTGACGTAGGAAGAGGAAATCTGGGAGGTGACAAATATGTCCGAAAAAATAATATTTAACATATAAATTCATAGAATGTTATTGAGAGTAAGGAGAAACCTATCACTTAATAATTTCTTAAATTAATATTGTTTAACAGAAACAAAATGTTCCCATGAAATTTTTAAAACTAAATATAATTTTACAAAATCTTCAAACTCGACAAATCAAACATACAAAGACAAGCATTGAATTATGGTTCTTGAATATTTTAAAGATTATTTCATCATACTTTAGATAGAGAAGACATGAAAAAGATATTTTACTGGAAATATCGCAATCAGTGTTTACAGGTAGGTAGAACATATCAATAGCTTATTTCTAAAACATTAAAGTCCGATTCACCAAATTCCTAAAGTCTTGTGCATAACTAATGCTCACTCATTTATTTTAAGATTTATAATGTGCCATATTATTTTGTGATTTTTCAATAAACGATAAGAATAAAATCATACAAATTTTTACTTTTCTTTAATACATATATTTGTGGCACCTATAAAAAATGTGTTAAGCGCAATTTTGTGGATTTTAATGGGTATCACTAGAAAGCTAATTTTTCTCTCTTTATTTGTGTCTAATGAGCTAAGTTCTTGCGGCTATTACAGAAATGAACCTTGCTTTGTGAATCATGGGTTGAAACTCGAAATTGGAACTTGGTGATCTGAATTACCACGATTTCAATTGTGTTTATCAATAGCTATGAGTTTTGCACTTAACACACTATGCACAGGTGCCACAGATAAAATTGGTAAAAACCTTTCATCGGAATTGTCCTGATAGTAGACAAATAATCAAATATTAGCTCACTCTATTTAACCGAAAATTCAATTATTTAAGTAGAGTGACAAGTGAAAGTTGAGACTAATTTAGTTTTAATAGTATTTTGGAAATGAACCTAATCTTTTTCAATTTTTAATGCTCCTAATATTTATTGAAGTTACTAAAAAGTAAAAATGTCCCAAGATATTCATAATCCCTAAATAATCATATATACAAATAAATTTAAGACACTTACCGTGTAAGGTATATTGCTCGGGTGTTGGCTCTTTCCACAACCCTCAGATACTGACTTACAACATGAGTCTGGTACTAAATTAGTTGTGTTTGTTTCATGTTTCCACCTGCTATTTTCCCAGTTCTCAAAGCCACTTGCTCCACAGCATTTATACTGTTAAAAATATAAAGAAGATAAGAATATAGAACAATACCTCAAATAAAAACAAAATAAATAAGAATAGGTTTATTTGTATAACATCTATAAACTAAATAAAAATGTGTTTTAACTTTTTTTTATACATAAATATAAAACATTTAATTTTTTTTTCTCAACTCTTCAAAGGATCAGTTTAAAGAGGCTAGTATTACTCTTTGCCAACCCCAGTATCCACAATTAATAGAATTGAAAATAAATTTTCTATAGCCAGATACAAAATGTGTCTAGTGTGTTAACTACCAAGAAAAATTCCTCTGACTATACAAAAATTAAAAATAAATGACTAGAAGTAAATAATATTTTTACCATGGTATCTTTGGTTATAATAAATCAAATTTTGTGCACAAATTCAGAAGAATAGTCACATTCTATGTATTTTCATCTTTATAATGAAACAATTACTAGTTACAAACTTATTAAGGTTATCTCTTAAAATATGGTACATAATTATGAAATACATAAGCTGTTCTCTGATATTATTTTCAAGGCTTATGTCATCCTTTCTAATTTTTTAAAACAAACTACTCAAGCCATTATAGAAAGTAAGTCTTCTCTCTCTCCTTCATAAAGTTACCGAACAGCATTTGTGGCCAAAGAGCCTTATTTATAAAAATTATATAAGTTTTAAGACAAGGCAAACATTTCTTTAACATTAATCCCCACATATATAATTACAGTAAGACTCGAAATTGATTTTGTACCAAATATAAGCTCCTGTCATGCTCAAATACCATAAATGGGGTACCGTTGTATTCAGAATTTCATGAGGGGTTAGCAAATCGTACTCTCCACTTTTGTTTTTCTTTCTAAAATAAATAAAGTCAATGTAAACATTTTGCTAGGATTCTATACTGGAACGGTGGTAAGTCTGTAGATTGATACGGAATAAATTGAGCTTTGCAGACCTTCGGAACTATTGGGCCGTGCGTTTTTAAGCCCAAAAACGTATTATTTTCTAGATAATGCTAGGCAAAGGGTTCGCATCCACACAAATTTACATTAATTTTAGTGCTGTCATGGAATACATGTCTAATTTTGTCGACTTGAGGTCTCTATCAATGAAAGAGGAGGAGCTTAAATTGTTTATCAAAGGTTAATATTTTATATGATTATATAAAATATTACTAAATTCCCTACAAAAATAAAAAAATCATCGAAATCGCACAATTATTAACAAAATTACAGCGAAATTTTTAAACATGTTGGTTTCAAACATTAAAGACGTTTTAATTAGTTTTTGTTTCCTTTGTGGATTATATATATTTAGTGAGAAAACACAATTGATTTATTTTATGATACGTTGCATTATTTTATTTTCTTATAATTTATTATTTGATCACTGAACAATAAACTGCGCGAATTTTTCCACGGGCTTACCAGTTTCAAATAATCAAAAACAAAAGTCTACATAATAACACAGTAATAACCACATATTTTTACTTTAAAAAGTTTGTATCTTAGCATTAATAAATAACCTCTATGAGAAAACAAACAAATAAAGTTTAACAAAAACCCAATTGTTAACAAAATATTGTACACAAGTACAATATTAACAATGAAGAGAAGAATAGTTGGGGTGGTCAGTCAAAAAGTACGGCAAAAAATAAGTGATAATATTTATTTTTTACATATGCCGACATTTCGACCTGAAGTTCAGGCCTTCATCAGGGCTGTCTCCTTAAGTGTTGCAGGGAGAATGGAGAAGGGAGAACCTTAAGGTGCAGAACCTGCAACACTTAAGGAGACAGCCCTGATGAAGGCCTGAACTTCAGGTCGAAACGTCGGCATATGTAAAAAATAAATATTATCATTTATTTTTTGTCTTACTTTTTGGGTGACCACCCCAACTATTCTTCTCTTCATTATCCACGACAGTCAACCAATCACCAATTGTGAATATTAACAATGATTGAAGAAGATAGTATTTTATTGTTTCCTCCTTGACTTTAATTACTGCATGTATTTAATTATTCAAGACAGAATAGACATGATTTTTGGTAGTATTGGGAAATATTTGTTCCATTTCTTTTTTTCAAATCGTTTTTATTTTTAATCTTGTATTTTCTCATAATCCACTCGTCATTTCAAAAATACTCAATGCAGTTTAAATGAAGTAGCACGATTGGATTCAAACTGTCGAGATGCATTATAGAACTAAAATCATTTAGAAGATTAATTTCATTTAGATGATGATAACTGGAGTTGTATGCTTTGGATCACTGTAGAATACTTTCTTTATCTAACATTTCAATAGACATCTTGAAATAGATTTTTAAAATGTCCAAAGAAACTAATTTGTCTATTATTATCTATGTATTCTAAATTCTCCGCCCCAGCCAACTATTTGCATCCATGCACTATCAAAGTTCCACCTTATGTTTAAACTTGCATTTTTTTATCTTCATAATTTATGGATATTATCATTACAAATTCTTTTCCATTAGTTTTCATTTGTGACATTTGGTAGTTCTACATAATAATATAATTTTTACTTAATTTGTTTTCATTCTTAACTGAAATCATCATGACTTTTCCTTGCCACTCAAGCTGAAAAATCTGTATCGTCAAAACATGCTTCTTGCTGGTATCCGGCGGTCATCAATTTCCCTGATTAAAGCCACATTTTGAACCAAAGCTTTAGCTGTTTCTTATAGATTACACCTAGTTTTTTATTATAAATTCCACTTGGGTTGATCCAAAAATGTTTTGATTAATTGCTTCTTCATTTATTTAATAAACATAAAGTTAAGTTATAATAGTTAATATAATAAATTATAATATATTATTGCTGTCTGGAAACTGGAAGAGACTAATTTATGATTTATCATTCTAACATAGATTTCTTTCTGCCTCAGGCTCATTAGATATAAAAAAAATTGAGTTAAAAAATTACATTATTAAGAAGTATTTTTTTTTCAGATCCAATCTCAATAAAATTATTAATCAAACTATATTTATTCATTTTAACAATACACTAATCATTATTTAATTTTAGGTTTACAAGTACATGAAGACCTAAAGTACTTGTTTTTATTTGTTTTATTTGTTTTATCAGCAATAAAATAAACATTATCAAAGTCTTTGTGTATGTAATATTTTCTCTTTTATCTTAGAATAAAATAATTTTGGCAATTTAAAAATTAATTTATATAAATATTATCAATTTGTTGAATTTATGAATGCTTTTGTTCCTAAAAGTACTGGTGGATTCAAAATGCGAACATTTTAGGCTAAAGTCCCAATAAAGAGTTATCTATGCCTCATTACTTTTTATGAAACCATGATGGCAGAGCGTGTTAGAGCATTGCCCACTTTAACATTCTCGAGTATAGTGGTACAGGTTTACATCTGGTCTGAAATTTATTTTGGTTCCCAACTCTGGTTAGAATAGATTTAGTAGTAACTCTAGAACAAATCCTTTTCCTCCCCCCATAGATAGCAAGGTAGACCAATCACAATATGTTTTATTTTTAAATGATTAAAGTACTTCTGCTATTAAATGTAAGTAAATGTCGAGTAAAAATAAAAAAACATTTTATCTCTAAAAGCATTATTGTTCCTGTAGCATTATTATTTGTAAAACTAAATAAAAAAAGTTCAGCCTCCCACACCATTGAATCCTGAATTTGCTACTGCCTAATCTGTATATAAACTGAATTTAAGATAGATAGATAATCCATTGAGAATGAGAAATATTTAATAAATAGAGGGTTTTGTTTAATGTATTACAAAAATTAAAGATTTAAAACATAAATAATGCACAGGTGTGTTTCATACTCTAGAATTAGAAAATATCTTGAATTAAAGTAATAAATAATTTGCTTCAGTATTCTATTTTCTACAGAATAAATAATAATTTGTAAAATTTATAAATTGAAAACAAACTAGCTTTCTAGAACATAACAATTATCAAAAAAAAAAAAGTACCTCTTGCTGCATTTTGTCAATGGCAAATGTTTCTTCGATTCCAAATCCATATTGCTGAACAAAAGTGTCATTTAAATTATGCTGCAAATCAGCTTCTACTTGGTTTCTGTATACATAAGCAAGGATCCCAACCATCTCCTCCATCAAAAATATGAAAAGAAGTAAAAACGTATACTGAAAAAAACAAAAACAAGCAATTAACAACTTTAGACTAAGTGATGTTTATAAGTGATACATAGTTAACAAACAGATATATGGATTTTGTGATAAATTAAATAGCATTAACTTTTAAAGAGATATATTTAAAGCTTTAATTTAGCAATTTGTCTTCATCTGGTTGCCAGGCATCTTGTGCTATGCACAACGCATAGGCCACCCCGCTCCTAGCTACTTAGTTATTAAAAGTATTACAAATCCGAGACTTTAATTCAATATTAACCCTCTTCCTTTTCTTTCAAAAACTAAAATCTAAAACCATCCCTAAACCCAGTGTTATGATCATGACTGCATTGTTTAGAGAATGGCCCATGAATGTGCTCAGTGCTGAGTTTATGAACTTGCCCTATTATTATATATTATTTCTAAAAGGTGTTTTTTGTCGGTAAATTATATCTTTGTTAAGGGCATTCAGGCGTTTCAAAAAGTGTGGGAAACACAATTATATAACTTAACTAACAGCGAGGTTATTGTTCCATACTAACAGCAGATGGAAAATATTAAAAACAAGAAACAAAAACACTACCATAGTGAAATAACCATTTAAATATTTGTTTGTGGAATGTCTAAATGCACATTCAAAACTACATCAAGTTCAATGATTGAGTCATCATTTAGAACAGGTGTCTCTAGGGGAAAGCTTTTAGGCCAGAGGCCACATCCAGATCTCCAATACGTCCTGCGGGACGCATTGAGACCTCTAGCAAGTGTTATGGGCCATGGATTGTGAAAAAAATAGTAAGCTTATTCTATAAATGGCTCTTCAGTTGTGAAATGAACTTTCTAAGAGAAACAACTCATCCAATAAATGTTATAATAAACTTTTGTTTGAGTAATTTATTAAATTTCATAAATTTAATATATTTTTTTAAATTGTGCCATGTAATCAAAAAAATTTTCAGGTATTGGATGTGATTGCGGGCCATAGTTTGGGAACACCTGGTTTAAAAGATTATCTTCTCTTCCAGTGCCGAAAATAAGCACATTCCCTTGAAAAAAGTGGAAAAGAAGTTATGAAGAAAATAAAACTTTATTTCCACATAACTCAAAAAGTATTGTGAATTATGCCCATTATAAATGTAACCATTTCGAAAATCCCTAAAAACAAGAAAAAAAAACATGGAGACAGGTCAATTTTTAGCAAAGATAACAGTCTGAAATTTTACATATGTTTTGGTTTTTTATTTTCAATAATTAAACATCGTAATAGTCCAAGAAAAAAAATCAATTCTTCCATGTCATAATATAATTCATTTATTTATTTACGTATTATATTACCATTTTATCACAGAGCAATACAAAGTATTCGTATGGGCTAGTATTTTTATTGATATTTCAATAGTTCTGTTCAATTTTTCCTTGTACTTAATGTGTTCTTAATACTGTACAACGTTAAAAAAAAAAAAAATTCTTCGATCAACAATTAATCTTGACTTTGAGAGGTAGGTAGATAAATTTGAGCATAAACCATCGATTCTCTTCCATTTTGGAAAAACGTTGAAAAAAATATAAAGCAAACAAGTCTTTACCTTGATGTTTGATAATTAACTGTTATGATACTTATTTTCGTTACTATCGTTAATATTCATTCAAACATAAAAGGATCGTGAACAATTTTTTTTTTAATAGATTTTTAGACGGAAATGTGGACTAGATAAGAGTGTGTGTGAAAGTGTTATCACGCTTTAGTTGACACAACGCATATTTAAACAGGCCTTTATCTCGTGCAAACAATGCCTGTTTCCTCTAAAACAGTCCTTTTAAGCGATATTCACATTTTAAATACAAATGTCCCATTAATGAATTCCACTTAAGGAATATTTTCAGAATGTTTACGTTCTCATCTTGCCAATTTCTAAAATAAAACAACGTCTTTGAGTTTTTCGAGTCTTCGATGTTTTAACTATTTTACATATATTAAAGCAAACTAAGAGGGATGAAATCAAAATGGAGAAAAGTAATTCTGGTCTTTGGCTGGCCTAACGTAATTCGAGCCAAGTTAAAATACTATAAACAACTTACGTCAACTTAGAACTGTTTTAAATGCTTTCAAAGTAGATCTGAAAACATTTATTTTTTTTAAATAATAGATAAATAAAAAGATAAAGTGACTTTATTTGGAACATCTTGAAACCATAATAACAAATCAAAAGAGCCACAAGCAGCCATGTTTATAATTGGACAGATAATGTAGAGGAGGAAGTACTGAAGATTTTTCACTATCTTATATCAGTAAACTTTTTAGAAAATATAAATATTGAAACGTTTAGAAAATATCGATACTCTATAATATACTAGATTTTGCTAATGAATAGAGATCAGTTACTTTAATATAGGGAGGAAACAAAGCATTGATTATTTGTTGGAATATTTCTCAAAAATTCCTTGAATCACAACTACCATCAAATAAATAACCAGAACAAATTTCGGCAATTCAGGAAACATCAGAATTAAATTACGTAAAATCATTTTAATTTAGATCATGGCTAGGACCCCTTACTTAAACCGCCTTAAATATAATTAATACTAATTAATTATTGTCAATCACTCCAAAAATACTTTAGTATACGTTTAACTGTTTTAGACTAACTGTAATCAGTTAGTCTTCCTTAAATTGTTAAGTGCTACGGTCAATCTATCTGCTTTGTGCATTTTATTTCTAATTAAACCTAAATTTAGTGGATAGGACGACTGGAACTAATCAGGTAAAACTCCCTAAATTGACAAAAAAAAAAAATAAAATAAATTTCTGACTTTAAAATGTGTATAAACATGTTCTTTAGTCTTTGAAGAATAATTTCTAGCATAGTTAGAAAGTATAACGTAGTTCGTTTTAAGCAATTTAAAATGGTTAAAATATGTTCAAAATTTGGACGTTTCAATTTATATGGGGTAAAAATAGATATTTATAAAACGTTTCCCTACTCAATTATGATGCTATTTGTCTTATCTTTAAAATAATTACATTATATTCAGAAGGTTTTAAAACAAAAACTAAAGAAATCTGGATAATGAGTCTTATTAAATAATTTATTAATAGATTTAAATTTTTCATATTGATAAATTATAAGAATAAAAACTTTTAACAATTACAAAAATTTAATTGAATTTTAATGAAAAAAGGGTTTCGAAAAATTGAAGTAAGTTATACTGCAAATATGATTCCCAAAAATTTCGTCCCACCTCGGCCTACTTTATTCGTTGTTAATATTTTAATATAATTATTAGTGTGATGTAAAAAAATATAATATTTGTTTTTGCCTCTAGTTGTATTAACATATTGTGTTAATACAAAAATGTATAACTATTATTGAAATATAAATATTTATTGAAAATAAATATTACAAATATTATTTTTTACTAAATCGATACATCGTTTAGTAAAAAAAAATTTTTTTATTATACCGAAATATCGCTTCATTGAATACAATAGTTTAATAGTATAAAACTTTTAAAACAAAACAATCAGCCGTGAAAATATTATTGCAATTGAATTTAAAGAAATTATACCACCTTGTTAAGACTTTAAGGTCTATTTCTTATTCTATAAATCTACTTACAGTTTTTCTTTAATTTATCATATACAAAAGATTTTGACTAAATATACCAATGTAAAAATAAGATATGTTCAGTATTTTTAAAATAAGTAAAATTTTTTATTTTTAAAATAAGTAAAAATAAGATATGTTCAGTATTTATACCCATTTTCAAAAATAAATGTAGGAAATTTTCGTTTTAAGATTATTGATGTTTTAAATTTATTTAAACTTGGTTAATTTAAAATTGGTTCAGATTAGGACAGGAAAAATAAATTAATAAAATAAAAATTTGAAGACAAAAAATAGTCCAGAAAGAGCCTCAGATTGGAAATGAAAATTAAAGCCAGTGTACAATTAGTTTTCATAATTGAGATTACAACATGCCAACTTGAGATCGAAATTTATCCAATTTATTTAGTTACTTATATCTCTTTTTCCATAAAAAAATTGGAAAATAGGCTGATAGCCGATTTAGTGGTGAATATAAAAAGGACAGCTGTTAATATTTCGGCGCTTACAACTCAAGCTTGCCCGAATTGTTGACTTGTCAGTTATTTACTGCAATTCGAGAAACTTCAGCTATTGTTTTGAGATATTTAAATAATAATCATTAACTTATAATAAGAATGTTTTTAATATTTAAGTCTAAAATATCAATTAAACATTCCAGTATGAGTTAGGTATGTAATCGACTGCGAAACTGTCAATTAAGATTGGTAGTCTACTACTGCTGATCAAATAAGCGAGATTTTTTTTTTCTTTTTAAATCGAAACGTGAAAACTTCCAAGAGAAGCTAGAAGTGTCACACTGAAGCAGACATTTTATCTATTCTCATTTGCATGTTTATGTGAAAATAAATTAATTTCTCCCGTCGTCACTCCAGATAGGCGCCATCCACTGGCAGTCGATAGCATCCAGGGAGTTATCAATTGTCAAGGAACGAAAAAAAATTAATTCCGTTGTTTTATTTGATTAATTAACTACCATGAACTTTTTTTGTCTCTTTTCGGCATTAAAAGCTCTGCTATGTTTTGAGTATATCTAACTTTTAATTGAGGTTAAACATTATATAAAAGATTTTTTTCATAAAGAGCCAGTTCTGAAAAGATAAAATAACGATATTGTACTGCAGTTAAAATAATAATTATTTATTTAATTAGCCAAAAATGGTAGATAAAGTAGTAATATAATATAATCCGATAGTTTTACGCCGTAGCGATCACATTTCCAGCTCTCAGGAGCGATGGATTTCGCCAAATGAGGTATCAAACGAGATATATTTAATCTTTTTTTTAATTTTATTTGAATAAAATTTAATGGATATAACATCCACCCTGAATTTCAGAAAAAAGTTATGAATGAAAAGAAACTTTATTTGCGAATTACTTAAAAAGTATTCAGTTTTTTCTTGATTAGAT